TTGTATCTAAAGAAGATCAAATGATACATTTTGCGTACATATTTTATATTATAACAGGTAATTTCTCGCAAAATGCGAAAAGTTCAAGAATTCGGTGCAACAGAACATGTACAAAATAATCGTTGAGCAAACGGCTGAAAAGCGATGAGCAAAAAGAAGCTGTAAAAACGATATTTCAAGAAATAAATGTCAGTGGGATACCAGACAATTTAACCAGAACTGGAAGAAGAAGGAAGACAACCATTCGTCGAGGCGGACAAATAGTTCGAGAAGTTAAAAAAAATCCATTTCTTAGTGCCAGAGAATTGTAAGAAAATTGATGTTTGCCCTTTAGATTTGCGCGAATAAAATCTTGTAGAAACGACGGCAATTTGCGTGGCTGTGTATCACGAAAACGGCCACGTATTTCGAAAGAGTAATAGCTGCGAAGCGTTCAAGATTTGCTCGGTAATATTGTAAAAAGGTAATTTCGTTTTAGGGAACAGTTATTCGAAGCGACGAATCGAAATACGAAATGAAGTCGAGTAAAAGAAGACAATACGCACGAGGAAAACTAGGAAAAACGTGAAGATTGCTCCGTTATTTGCTAATTTTTATATTTGTCGACAAAATCGGTAACTATAAAAACGCGTCGCTAGGCTCGAATAATCGTATCTCCTCTCTCCAAATTGTCCATTTCTGTGGGCAATCTGAGCGTCGATTAGGGAAAATCGATATTACTCACAGATGAAATAAAAAAGAAAAAAGAATTTATATCCCATCGGCTTTGAAACGAGTACTAAAATTAGACCCGCAGATATTATATTGGCAGCAACGAGCGAGAATATTCGAACGGAAACTTAACATAATTCTCTCTCTCTACAATCATTCCGCGGCAGCGAACGAAAGTTCGAAAAACGCGTTTAAAAAGCCGACCACGTTCTCGTTACGAATGCATAAAAAATCAGCAGAGATTCGACGATCTAACGTTCCCCCTTCCCCTGCCCACCCTAGTGCTTTCTCCGCACCCCTCGTTTCGACGGTCGCGCGAAAAGCGGAAGAAAAGTGCAAATGACGGAAAACGCGATTCCCGCGCGATGAAAAGCCGAGTATCAGGGAAAGCAGCTTTCCTCCTAAGGAATTCAGAGCCGCTGCTCTTCGTTAATCCTCCGATGCCGCGACGGTCCCCCGTGGTCGCGTTTTCGCGTTCGAGCGCGCTGTCATTGGGAAAAGCGCAAAAGTAAAAAACAGAAGCTGCCTGCGCGAGCAGAATGAGAGCAAGAGAAAGAGAGCAAGGGAGAGTGAGAGCGAGAGAAAGAGAGAGAGAGAGGTCCTTATCGGAACGGGACGATCGGAGACACCCGTCGCGGCGCGATAAAAAGTGTTTCCGGTGGTCGTTCTGTCACCTTCGCCCCGCCTCGAGCGGATACAATTTGTCCTCTTCTCGCGTCGCGCCGGAAAGAAGCTCGTTCCGCGATCTCACTCTCACTTTTGAGGCTCGTGGCGCGAGCTTATACAGGGTGTCCCAAAAATGTCTCGCAATCTGGAAATGGCGGCTTCCTCGGATCATTTGAAGCAACTTCTTCCTTTACAAAAATGTTCTCCGAGGCACCGTTAACGAGTTATTAACGGAAAACAGCGACCAATAAGAATCGAGTATGGCTGACGCGAGGCGGCCCAGCCAACCAGCGCGCGAAACCCAGTTCCGCTCATTGGCTCGGTCGCCTCGCGCCAGCCGAGCTCGCCTCTCATTGGTCACTGTTTTTCGTTAATAACTCGTTAATGGTGCCTCGGAGAAAATTTTTGTAAAGGAAAAAGTTGCTTCGAATGATCCGAGGAACCCGCCACTTTCGAATTGCGAGACATTTTTGGGACACCCTGTATACGTGTCAGCCGCGCAACAACTTACTCCGAAGAAATATAATGGCGAGGGGGGCCCTCCCTCCACCCCTCTCTTCATCCCCTTCTCGGGAGAAAGAGAGAGAGAGAGAGAGAGAGAGAGAGAGAGAGGGAATGGAAATAACGACACAGAATAAACATAACGTTTTTGCCGGGCGCTTTTTTTTCCAGGAGATGGGAACGTCAGCTTCGAGGAGTTTGTCGGGATCGTGAGCAACATCAGCGCGAACGAGACCACTTCCCCGGATCAGAATCAGGAGGAGAAGGAGCTGAGAGACGCGTTTCGGGTACGTTCGACATTTTTCTTCTTTTTTTATCTCTGCCCTTTGTTTTTTTGTTTTTTTTTTTTTAGAGCCAACTATCCCCCATTCGCTCTTTCAATAAAATCACCGGCATGGAAAACCGCCGCGTAGATAGGCTGTTCCCGCTGCCGCCGTCGCCGCCGCATTCGTTTAACGATCTAACAATTCCATGGTGACGTCTCTGAATATCTATTTGTCGACTAGATAATGGAGGGACCGGACCAACGGAACGGTTTTCACAAATGGTTGCTTCGAACTTCGGATACTATTCGCGAGATTTGTCGATGAGATGGGCGGACGTTGCGTTTCTTTTTCTCTTTTTTTCTAGGCACAGAGTGCAGCGAGGTGCGATAGGATAGGGTTTATAGGGTGGCGGCATGGCATTCGGGAAAGTAACGTCGCTTTTACATCGTTTCTTTTTACATTAAATTCGAACTGATCGATTTTTAACTAGCTCTTATTTTCGATCGACGTTGCGATCAGCCTCGTTGTCTACAACCTTTTGCCATCCAGCGAGCGAATTTTCAACGCCGAGTCGCTCGGAATCGCTCGGTTTTCGAGAAAAATATCCGGAGACGGCGTTTTCGACGTCGTCCGAATTTTCAAATTTGTTGCCGCTTGGAAAATGTCGCGGCGATCGGAACAAATGGAAATCCGACGGCGCGATGTCCGGCGAGTACAGTGGCCGAGGCGACGCCTCCCGCTTTAATTCGTTAATTTGGTCGGCTTTGTTTTCTTCGGACAGATTATGCGGCGCCCGAACACCCGCTCCGCTTGCTTCACCGATCCGCTGCGAATGTTCTCGGTCGATCGACCAAGGTTGGTCAAGAGCGTTCGACGGCTCCTCGATCGTCCGACACGGATTCGCTTCCACTTCCGCCCTTAACGCGTCGTCGACTAAAGTTGTCGGTCTTCCCGACCGACGCGAGCCCCCCGGAAAGATCGAAATCGCCGGATTCGAACTTAGAAAACCACCCTCGGCATTTTCCGAGAACGTCCGACGCGCTTGGATGAACGTCGCGAATGTTTTTGGCAGCGACTGTTGCGTCGCTACCCATGTAAAACTCGAAAAGCATACCGGATGCGCACCGCTTTTGGTATTCGGCTGGCCGTTTCACCGTAAATAGCAAAGGAAAATTCGAGATTTAATTATTCGCGAGATAACGAGTCGCTCTAACCTTAAAATGTTTTTGGCGCGAGTTCGAAGCATGCGACGAGCTGATATAAATGACAAACGAATATCGACGCGCATAGAAACGATATTATTTTCTGGTCTAGCTAATATTTGCTGGAGGATGTATTGTGAAAGCATAGAATACGACACAGTAGAGCAAGCCGTGATGAGATGCAACATGTAACTATGCATAAATTATCGATATGTTGTTGATACGTCTGACGTTAATGTTAATTATATGAATGAAGCTAATGGAAGCGGTTGAAATGGAATTCGACTCATCAATATTGCAATGAAACTGTCGAAAATAGTCAAAATAGAAACCATGTCGCAGACTACAAATCAGTATCATATTTGTCTTCTTGTGTCATACAATTTGTCTCTTTATCGAAAATAATTGAATGCAAAAAATAATATAAAATATGCAATTTTTTTTCAATGTCATCTTAAAGGTCATCGTGTCGTTGAATTCGACACGACGTCGCCTACAACCCTGTCAAGTTAACATAACCTAGTTTCATTTACAAATATAACGTTCACCTCGTTTTTTAATCGAAGATCAGTTTGTTTTTAAATTTGAACAATTGCGATTTCTTGTCGATTAAATACTGATTAAGTTTGGTAGGAAACATCTTTTCGTCAGACTATCGGAAGGGGCTGAAAAATTGGACTAATTTGTGATTCGCCCTGTACAGGGTGTCCCAAAAATGTCTCGCAATCCGAAAGTGGCGGGTTCCTCGGGTCATTCGAAGCAACTTTTTCCTTTACAAAAATTTTCTCCGAGGCACCGTTAACGAGTTATTAACGAAAAACAGTGACCAATGAGAGGCGAGCTCAGCTGGCGTGAGGCGACCGAGCCAATGAGCGGAACTGGGCTTCGTGCGCTGGCTGGACTGCCTCGCGTCAGCCGTACCCGATTCTTATTCGTTACTTATTATTACTGTTAATAAGTTATTATTATATTGGTTACTGTTTTCCGTTAATAACTCGTTAACGGTGCCTCGGAGAAAATTTTTGTAAAGGAAGAAGTTGCTTCAAATGACCAGAGGAACCCGCTATTTCTGGATTGCGAGACATTTTTGAGACACCCTGTGTATTCGTTCATAAAGAAAATCAAGAGTACGTTTAAAATCGAATAACATATTGCGAACGATCAATTCAAATAAAAGTAATGATATCAGAATGCCATTGTTTATAGAGCGATAACATTTCGATATTATCGACATTTATCGATCATTTTATCAGCCGTAGCATCTCTAATTACGAATGAATGCTCTAGAAGAGGACATGTACGAGATGCGAGAGAATAGGCTTCGATGGGACAAATTACAGGAAAATGGGGGTTGAAAATCATGCGATTGAAAATCATGTAGAAAATCACGTGTCCGAAGACAGATCAAAGGAGAATGGAAAAGAACGATATGGCAAAGGATAACTTGGAAAAAATGCAATCTGAACGTACATTGGAAATCGCATTTGACAAATGGATTAATGTACATTTGTGCTAATTAATATTAACACTAGATATTAATTAATATTAACATCGTGTTAATTAATATTAACTTAGTGATAATTAATATTGACACTAGAGATCAATTAATATTAACACAAGATTAACACTAGATTAACTCTAGATTAACGTTAGATTCTCGGAGCAAAAAAAACAGCTGTTTTTATATTAGCTTACAAAAGTAACAATAAGACATTTATTCTGACTTTTAACAAGCGTTATTTATAACATTTTAAATTGAATAAATAACTCGTAAATGCATCTTTACGATATGAATAATCGTAAGGGAGACATTACTGTACAATCGAGCCTCGCAGCTCATTTTTTTAATAGTCGTTGACAATCGGGAACTATAAAAATAAACCGCAAGGCTCGAATAGTTGTATCTCTGCTTCCCAAATTGTCCATTTTTGTGGACAATCGTCGCGTCAGTTAGGGAGACAATCCGAGCGTCAATTAGGGAGACATTACTCTACAGTCGAGTCTCGCAGCTCATTTTTTTAATAGTCGTTGACAATTGGTAATTATAAAAATGAACCGCAAGGCTCGAATAATCGTATCTCCTCTTCCCAAATTGTCCAGTTTTGTGTAAAATCTCAGCGTCAGTTAGAGAGACAATCCGAGCGTCAATTAGGGAGACATTACTGTACAATCGCGAGTCTCGCAGCTCGTTTTTTTTAATAGTCGTTGACAATTCGTAACTATAAAAACAAACTGCAGTGCTCGAATAATCGCATTTCCTCTCCCAAAATTGTTCATTTTTGTGGACAATCCGAGCGTCAATTAGAGAGACATTGCCGTATCCTTTTCCGAGAAAGGTGAAAGTGAAAGCTGACGGCCGTAGTTTGATCAACGGCTGCGGTCAATCCGTTCGCGCGTCACCGATCAGGAATAGCGTGGTTTGCGGACTTTGATCCTGTATTCGCGAATTATTGCGAGCTTATTCCACGATACGGAGGTATTAATTTCAATTACATAATACACATATATGTCTATCGTAAACGGTAGACACGTCAAAATAGAGACACCGTTATTAATTAACTTCGACCGGCGAATTGCAAACTAATTGGCAACGTTTAGCGTGAATCGAAGTAACATCTGCGCCGTGACATTATTTCGATGACACGACAATTTCTCGTTCAGCCGAATTGTTGTCGCGTTGTTCATCGTTAAATTTCAACTCGCGAATCTTTCAAACTATATACAGGGTGTCTCGAAATTATTGTATTTCCGGGAATTGAGGGGTTCCTGGGGTGATTTGAAGTAACTTTTCCCTTAGCGAAAATGCGATTCGCGGCTTCGTTTGCGAGTTATCGACAAAACAACAGTGACCAATGAGAGGCGAGAGCGGCTGGTGCGTGGCGGCCGAGCCAATCAGCGGAACTGGGCTTCGCGCGCTCGTTGGCTCGGCCGCCTCGCGCTAGCCGAGCTCGCTTCTCATTGGTCAGTGTCTTTTTGTTAATAACTCGTTAACGATGCCGCGGAGAACATTTTCGTAAAGGAGAAAGTTGCTTCGAATGACCTCAGGAATCTCTCATTTCCCGGAAATACCATAATTTTGGGACACCCTGTATACATACGTACGTTTAATGTTTAATTTGCGTCATCGGAATCATCATTGTGTACATTGAAATTATTGTGTTCGTGGATTATCTCCGACCGGATTTACGTTACATTTAACCGTGATCGGAAGATCGATAGTTTATTTATACAAATTCGAATAATATTTCGCGGTAATATTTGCGCGGATATTCGTCGTTACGGAAAACGACGCGAGGTATTTTATTAATTAATCGATAAGAGTAGAGAGAGAGAGAGAGAGAGAGAGAGAGAGAGAGAGAGAGGGAGAGAGAGAGAGAGGGAGAGCTAAAGAGAGACGTGCACGCACGAGGTTATAATTAATTTTCGGTTTGACATTGAATATTTGGGTTTCTCTCGTCTACAATATTACACGTTAAATGAAAATTTCGCTTATTGAAGGAAGAAAAGGAGGCCACGTTATTAGCAGAAAAACGAGTTCAATTGAAAAGAGAACGATATTCCTGTAGTTTTTTTTTTTGAGTTGTTAGAAAAATATTTGGATAATACGTAAACTATTACCTTCTAAAGGATTGTTAAATTGCTAAAATTGTGTGCA